TTTAGAGTAATTGGCTAGGAATTTACATTTCTTGTGCAGACTGGTCACTTCCCTTCAATGTATAAGGGAGTAATAGGATGAAAACAGTGCTTTAATCTGAGTCTAAGTGTATACAGGTGGTCAGTGAACTGTTTTAGTTTTTCTGAATAGCTAACATTTTTCAAAGTATGAGTTTTAAACCTGGTTTTGTTTTCTTTTTTAAAGAATTTAGGTTCAGTTAAAAAATAGGTTCCCTCCCTGGTGGCGCAGCAGGTTAAAGCACTGCACTAACAAACTAAAGACATTTCCGCATGAGTTCGCATGAGTTCGATTCCCGCCTGCCCCGGAGGCGACCACATGGCGAGGCAGACCTCTCCTGACCCGCCGGCTGCTCCCCTCAACAGTGTACTTCGTCGATCTGACTGTTCTGCTTCCCGCTCTGTCTCTGGTGAATCCTTTCACCCTCCGCAACTCTGGCCTGTACCCCAGTTCTGTACGAATAAATAAATAAATCTTAAAAAAAAAAATAGGTTCCCTTTTGTTTGCTCTTTGCTATTTTCAACAACTAGAGCTGAACATGGTACATAGTTGGAGAATCAATGAGCTATGGCTGAGAATTAGTCACAAACTAAAAAGAAGTAAAGCTATGGTGGTAGCAGTTTGGTCATGAAGATATGTCAAAGGTTTCTACAAAGAATTTGATGATTTGGAGAGGGTAAAGGGAGAGCTTTGAAAATCTAGGTCATGGAGATTGGTGGAGCCAATTGTAAGCTTTAGAAAAGATGCAGATTTGAAGATAAATGACTGTTGGAGATGATATGATGGGAGTAAGCCAACAAAGTACAGAACTAAAAGTTTTAGAGCAAACGTAGCTACAGGGAATTGCTGAGGTTAGTCACATAAATGAAGATTCTCAAGATGAAAGGATTTATATTCTTCCACTATATGAAGACACACACACAAAACTAACATGCCCTTCTTTCTACTGAAAGTGTCATTTCAAAAATAAGTGAAGCATTTTTGAGAGACTAAAGCAGTCAATGAGCTACTTAAAAGCTTATAATTTTGAACTTTTAAAATTTTTAAAAATTGTCAACATTTACAAAACAGAAGCCAAATAAAAATTGATACTTTAATTCTCTTGAAATTCTCAGGCAAATTTGTCAATCATAAGCCTTCTTTCCTATAGGCATGACTGGTTGGAGTTTACAACTGCTGCTGCTTTTGATTGACTATATTCCACTTTCTAATTCCATTTGTCTACTGTGTTATCTACCTGGCTTCTGTCAGTATTTTAGTTTTTAGTTTCTAGTCTAGCTTTAATATGAACAGCTTTAATATGAACAACAAAACATTAATAATAGCACACTGAGCATTTAGTTCAGGCCCTCTTGGTAGCATGACACCGAGATCATTCACCATTTGAGGGAAATTACTATTACTAAACCAGCTTACAGATGATACAAATGAGACCCAGATGTCAACAGACAGCAAGTGCTATATAAGAAAAACCCAGACTTAAACATGCAGTTAGCCAAACAGTATTCAAGTTACATGATACTATTAATCTGAGTCTTTTTCTACAAGTAAGCACATCATTGCTGTCCAGAGATTTGCTGTCCTGCAGTGTAGACAGACACACGCACATGCCTGTGGGACTCTGGGTGGGACTTTTTTTCTACCTACGTGAAGCTGGACTAAGTTGAACTTGTTCTTCATCTGTCCTGACAAAGGCATTAGATGGTAGGCAGGTGGGCGTTAGTGGTAAGGAGACCAATCCTCACTGCTCTCTGCAGAAAACATAAAATGCAGAGACAGGACTAACTTAAGAAATGTGTGTTTTAACGGGAGCTGGGCAATGCACTTAAAGGTTTTTAAGGACATTTAAAAAGGAACATGAGGGTGTGTATAAATGGAAGGCAGATGAGTCCAGTCTGCACTATCACTCCTATTTACCAGTGCCCTGAAATGACTCTCACACTCAAATAGTTCTGCTTGAAAGTAGTTTTCAGTTAACTTCTTTTATAAGAGTTAATTAAAATACTGAGAAGCAAACAACAACAAAATAATCCTAAATTAAGTCGAACAAGAAGCAACATAAGTTTCCAGGCAAAATTTACTATAAATATACATCTTTGAGCAGTTCCTTCTGACCAGGTTCCACAGCAATCTACATGGCTTATACCCTTAGACCCGCCAAGTATCTGGGCAAACAAAGCCTTATCAGGAAAAACTTCTCTGACCTTCCTTTGTAAAATTACCACCACCTCACCCTTTTTCCCCCCTGCCAATATAATACGTATCCTGCTTTCACTACTCTCTCTTTTTTTTAAATAATAGAACTTACGGCTAATAGATGTATCACACATCTGTTGTTTCACTGCTGTTCCTCCCAACATCAGCTCCCAAGAGGTTGAGACTTTTAGTTCATTGTTATATGACTAGTAAGTAATCTTATATTAGAACTGGATATAACAGAGCTCAATATTAGTTACACCTTAAAAAATAATCTAGTAACTCTTCAAGGTCAAAAGCACTCCAAAAGAGGTGGCTTGCCATTTTTACATTTTGAAAAATGTAACATTTTGAAAAATTAGGACCTACAGGCAAAGTCAAGAAGTAAACTAAACTTTCTACCTCACTGTTTTCTCCTTCTTACTAGATTAGTTAAAAATTACACCTATTTATTTTCTCTAAGGCTCATGGTCTCAATATTCCTCAAACCCAATTTGTTGAGCTTCACAGTTCTGAGATAAACTTTTTCCAGAATAGTCCTTACTAATGGTGCTTACCATGTTCTAACCAACACAGTAGGGAAAAATGGAAGAATTTTTCTAATATTCAATTATATTTGTGTGTGTGTGTGTGTGTGTGTGTGGGAGGAGAGGATACTGCTTGATTTATATGGCTTCTATTGCTACTTACATTAGTATGTAAGGGGGAAAGGATGTCCTGAATGAACTCTACAGGTACAGAATTTGTGAACACCATCCCCACCCCAGACACTGAAACTACAAATCCCATCAACACCAAAGAGATGCATGCTAGGACCTGAGGATAGAGTTAAGCAGCCTGGTTTGGGTATAAAACCAGACATGTGAACTCTGGGGGTCTCTTTGTCTCGAGTCTGCAGGCTTGTCTCATGGCTCTTCACTGGTTTTTAACATGTTATTGGGGTTCCAGGTCAGCAGAACCAGTAGCCCCCATTAATCAACTTATCTCTCTTTCCGAGCTATTCATTTCCCTTTTCTCTTATAAATAAACCCATTATTAACCTTTTTTGGGTGTGCTTGCATTTGAATCTTATACGCAAGGGTGAGGACTTAACAGTTAGGCAACCCAATTTACATTGAGTTGTCCTGTGACAGTAATATAGATATGGTAATTGAAATAGTATCATAAAATATTTTTAATCAGAGTATGCTTTAACATTAAAACACTAGGCTCGGCCCTCCCTGGTGGCACAAAGGGGTAAAGCATGGCACTGCAAGCTAGTGGCTGCCACTAAGTATGAGTTCCATCCCAGGCTCCTGAGGTGATCCACATGTTGTGGCAGACCTCTCCTAACCTGTCCGCTGCTCCCCTCAGCAGTGACTTGTCAGTCTGCCTGTTCTGCTCCCCACTTTGTCTCTGAGGAATTCTTACTGCCCCTGCATCTCTAGCCTCTATCCTAGTCCTGTATGTATAAATAAATAAATCTTTAAAAGACAAACAAAAACAGTGATTTTTAAAAAAATAAAATAAAATGCTGGGCTCATCATTCTCAAACCCAGGTATGGACTTTATGTATTTTTAAAGTAAACAAGAATAAGAAACTATTTTGAAGTAGGGTTAAATGTCTGTGAGCAAGCCTAAAATTTCAGAGGCAATATTTTATTTCAAAAGTAATAAATATTATGGTAACATGTTACAATGAAGGAAACCCGTGAAATTCTCATTAAAAACTGGAATTATTTCACAGTTAGGCTTTTCACATTTCTCATGACCATTTCTTTTCCAATGACCAGATAATCCCAATTAAAAAGTAAGTATATTATTAACTACCAACAGTAATTTAAATTCAAGGTGGGGTAAAAGCCTAATCACAAAGAAATTTCAACTGAACATTCCAATAGTGCAGCGAGAAGAAATGTTATCAATGAGAGCAATCCTAATTGTGTATCAGATAGCAATGGGAATGTTTTAAAATTAACATGCACCTGACTTCAGCAAAATATTTGTGAAAAAATTTACACATCTTTATTCCAGACATAATGTGAAACTTGAAAATTCTTCTACTTTAAAATTGGGTAACTTACAAAAAAGTTTTATAGCATCTCATGAACAAACCAAAAATGTTAAACTGAATTATCTCATCTATTTTGGTCTTCTGTTACAAACAAAAACTACTAGCAATTCATTATAATAGTTCCAACAACTAGCAACATGATTATCAAAAAAATATTCTGTTAATGAAAAAAATCACTGATTCAATGAGCATTTGATCATTTTATTACCAAAATATAAGCAAAAATTACATCCCTCTTTGGTGAAACTTTTCTCCTCAAATAATTGTAAGTGGAGGGAGGACACTCAGATGTATCATTTATAAAACATGTTAAATGAAAACATTTTTTAAATGTACAAATACAAACCAGTACTTTATACAAGAATTCTCTATAAAGTTCATTAATCAATGTAAAAAATAACATGTTTCAACTGAATACAAAGCATGTTCAGTTTCTGTAATTTTGTAGCATTATTTTTTCTGCTTTGTTGGAGATTTTTCTCTTCGTCGGTCCTGATTTTTTTTTGATTCTCTGGATTGTTCAAAATACCTGCCAGATTTTTCCCATCGCTTCTCAGCACCATTCTGGTATCTATCTTCATCACTTCTGGCATCTGAGTATTTTCTATCCTTTTCTCTTGACTTTGATCTATCTTTTCTTCTAAATTTTTCACTGTCCTTATTTCGGTGTCTGTGGTCATTTTCTGAAAAAGAACTTCTTCTCTCTCCCCTCTTCTTTTTGGGATCACTGTGCTTATTTTCCAAATCTGTGTGCATGCATTTCTTGTTCTCTGTCATTCACAGGTCTATTGTAACTATTTCGTTCAGAAGAAATACCTCTGTCTGAAGAGTGTTTTGTTATGGAATCTCTCCAATTTGGATCTCTTGAATTTTTATCTCTGTGTTTTTCTGGCTTTCTTTCCCTGTCAGTCCTGGTTTCCTGTTGCCTTGGCTCTGGTCTTCTTTCTTCATGTTTCCTGTCATTTGCTTGTGATTTCCTTATAAATTTATCTACTTCTTTATTTCTGATCTTCCTTTGTCCCTTCCTTCTTCTATCTTTATCTGGCATGTGTAAAATGAAATAGTTAGTTTTTATTCTTAATCTCATAATTCAACAATCACATTATGAGTAAATCACACATTTACTGATACACTATTGGTTTATTAATACAGATAAATTGGACGGAAAGCCAAAATGAGTTAATGAAAATGTGTCATGACAGAATATTTTACAAAATGTGAAAATAATATACATTAACAATATGCAATGTCAACATTACAGAAGTATCTGTTTTGATCCTTAGTCTTAATATAGTAAAGAGGAACTCAATAAATTATAGCAAATTCAGAAAACATTTTTTTGGAAGTGACTAAACTCCTAGCATTTCATTTTTAAATTTTATCCAAAAACAAAAAATTCTAGTCTGTATGCATATATCATATGAAATATCTCATATCTGGTACATAGCCAAAATACAATGATCACATACACCAGCAACATCATTTTCTAAAGGTGAGGAAAGTAGAATGACTGAGTTTGCTTTTAATATGAATATGCATTTTTTTTCAAATAAATACATCATTCTACAAAAATAAGAGTTTTGTTCTCTGTGGATATCAGAGAAATATTACCACAACCAGTAAGAGCAGCTCATTTTAAAAACAAGTATTTAATAAAGAAAAAACCTGGTGCAGAATGTTATTCGTGAACAACATTCAATGTACAGAAAAATTCAGAGGGAGATGTCAGAGACCAACTATTCTGAAGTCAGCCTTGTCATGCAAAAACCTCTGGATGATATATTCCTGTAGCTTTAAATATAGCTATCAAAAAATTTCTGTAAGTGCATTTCTCCTACCACTAGAAATATAACAACTGGTGTCTTAAAACAACAAAACTAGAGATATAACAACACTAGAGATATAACAACTGGTGTCTAAACACTAGAGATATAACACTAGAAAACACTAGCGATGTAACAACTGGTGTCTTAAAACAACAAAACTAAACATGTTCTAGAAGGGAAATTACAAGCCAGTCACATGAATGGTAGTTGGTTCTCAATTGCCCAAACCCTATCTTGAGTTAATGGAACTCGCACTGTATCACTTCACCCTGGGAAGATGGCATTAAATTCGAGACGTGGGTCAACTGCATTAAAACAGTCTGACTGGAGAAAACAGGGTTATCATCTCCCCAGGACCAGAAATAAGTGAACTGATTGGGTCCCCAACATAAAGAACTGTTAGTTTTTCATCATAGTCCTACCTAAACTAGTCTGGGGTGTATAAGGTTGGATAAAACTGGACAGAGTGAGATGATGACAACTTTATGACCACAGGCTTTCTGGGAACCATGAAGGCTGAGGTTTTGAGAAGACTCTTTTAAAATAACTTGAAAAAAATCTATTTTACTATAGATTCACAAGTAAATATTCAATTCGGTGAAATGACTTACATTTTATGCTATTAAACACATTTAATCACTTATCTGTGTTAGTTTGGACATAAAAAAAACAAGGTTTTGAGATGATTAAAATTTTTTGACAAATTCTTATGTATAGAAAAAAGAAAAAATGTGGTAGAAAACTACCTTACCCTACCTCTACCTTTACTTCTTCTGCCAAATGCCTAGTCTTGGCAGAGTCAGTTGGTGTGCCACTAAGGACTTATTTCTCTGGATTTTAGCAAGCAGCTCAGCTGAGCTGTAGCTCCCCAAGCAGAAACCATCTGGCTCTGTGATAAATCAGCATCTCTCTGACCCTATCTACACCACTTTCAGAGCTTCACAGACTCTACAGTGACAGATAGATAATAATACCCAATCTCCTCTCCTCTAGTGTGTGCTTTATGATTGTCTAATTGTGGATAGTTCTTACTACTTTATTAATACAACTGAAAGTTTTATCTGAAATTATATGACGAGGCAAATTAATTTTGAATCAGCAAGCTTCCTGACTGCAGCAATTCATGCTGTGTTATCATCTGTTCTCAAAACAGATACCGTGAAATAACAAATTCTTTAGAATTAAGAGGTAAATGTTAAATGTACAATGTTAATATATTTCTCAAGAATTTAAAATTTCACAGGAAGCCTGAATAAATGGAATCTTACAGTAATAATAAAAACAAAAACAAAAAAACACCAAAGAGTCTCCCAATTCTGATGCCACTTTGTGCATAAAACACTTTGAAGTGTAACAAACCAGAGTGTAAAGACTGGCTTTCCAAAGGAATTCTGCAGGGGAAGTCTCTCTGAAACAGGAATTTTTTTTTAAAGCAAGAAATGATAATGCATTTTGGACAACAGTCTAGTGCTAGGGTATTATGATAGAAGAAAACAAAAATGAACCTGGGGACCTTTTTAAAAAAAAAAATGTGTATTTTTAAACATCCTATAGCAATGATGGATATAAGTATAATAGTTGAATTAATAAACAGGGAGGGGGAAGAAAATTATTTATTAAATGTAGAAATAAACAACTTGAAGGTCATCATTTGGCAAACATCCTAGTAAGAAGGGTTCAGACAAGCTCCAAAGGTAGACACAAAATGAAAATTAGAGAAAGAGACTTGCATGGTATCAAATTAGCTCCCTACAGATATTAACTTACAGAGAAAACTAGTTTCCATGAATTCAGTATACACCATCATTACCAAGTGATCAAACTTAATTTCACCAATAACTTAACATCACTATTACAGAATCCGTGATAAGATACACTAAGTCACATACATTTCTATGGTATTCTTGTCCAAAATGGACAACCCATGCCAATCATGAAAAAAAACATAAAGAGATCCATACTGAGGTATATTCAACAAAATAAAAGATGAGGGAACTACAAATGTGTCAAACCATTAAAAACAAGGAAGTTCTGAGAGAAGGAACTATGTCATAAGGTGTTTTATCCTAAAGGGAAATACAATTAAATGCCAGCTAAATGAAGTAAGTCAGAACGTAAAAGACAGTTACTGGATGGTTTTACACTTTTATAGAATATAAATAATAAAAGGAAACTAGCATAGCACAACAAAAAATAATTTCCAATACTTTGCAGAAAACATAATGGTTACCAGAGGGAATGGGGAAGAGACGGCAGGGGAGGAAGGGGATAGAACATGAGAGCTAAGGATTTGGAGGAAGGTAAGTGAAGCATGTGCACAAATGGAGTTTTGAAGTTGTACTCTCAAAATTAAGTTATGTAAATAACTACAAAACAAAAATTAAAAACAAAAAGGTTTCAACTAGATTTACACACACACACCAGGAAAGCTCTTTTAAACGATTATAGATATTATGAATGGCATTTCAGTCCTCACTCAAATGAATATCTGTCAATGAAAAATCTTCATTTCTATGAAGGTAATCTTAGCACAATGGATTAAATACATTACAGATTGCAACAGTGATAGATGATCACTTATATTACCAATTATAGCTTTTTAACAGCTGAATTCTAAAACAAATAAGTAATCAAATACCTGAGGCAGAGCTTTGACTACTGCTAGATGAAGAATCGGTCTCCTCACTAGAAGACTCTGAACTGCTGTCACTACTGTCTGAATCAGAGGCAGAGGAATCAGACTCTGAAGAGGAGGATGCAGAAGAGGATGAAGGAGAAGATTTATTTGATTCCACATCTGGCTTCTGTGCCACAATGACCTTTGGTGTATTTTTGAGATGCTCACGCAATTCATCACTAATTAAAAATAAAATTTCTGTTAGGTTGTCCCTCAAAAGCAATTGTGAGAAAATCAGATGTTAAAAATAAAGTTCTAAAAATAATCTTACGTTAAACCTCCAAGTCCTATAGATGTAAAGAAATTGATGGCAAATCGAGTGTTTCTTGGATTATCTCGGGGTAATAATCCTTCAAAGAAAGGCTGAAGGGTTCTAAAAATGAAAAAAGAAAAAAGTAAACTGATTGCTTAATGATGAAAAGGAAAACTCCTTATAGCATTTTTTCAGATTTTTAAATACAGTAAATTAATAAATAAAATACCATCACATAAGTAATTATTGTCATTTATTAGGTTATGCTACATGCTATCTGATGAAATTAGGGTCAAGTCACAATTTATTAAAGGTGATTTCTCTAGTTATACAACAGCATTTTTTAAAAAGCTTTTTTTACATACATAGAGAATAGATTTCTTACACCTTGCAGATGTAGATATAAACCACTGTATAAGAATAATGTGCAGTGGAGTAAAAAAGCTCTCCTGTGCATGTACACATGCATGCATATGCAGTACTGTGCAAGGCCCTGGGGATGGTGGGGAGGGGGGTCAACAAAAGAGGGAAAGGAAGGCAGAAGACTGCATATAATTCTAAGGAAGGGAATAAAATGGTAAAACATTAATACTACAATGTGGTTTTGGACATGAGGTTTTCAGTGTCACATCAAATGACTGGAATCAGCAGGGTTAAGAAAAACTGTTAAAGGGTATATAAGAATAAAAGTTTGCTAGACAACACAGTAACAGAGATTCCCAGCTCTGGAAACAGGTAAGAAAGCATGAATGAGACCAACCGACTTAATAAGCTGAGCAATGTCTGTGTGGAAGAGTACAGCTTGCTGGAGGGAGACTACAGGAGCCTTTTCAAATCGATGAGGATAAAATGAGTAAGTATGTGAAGCCAGAGAAGTTGATGGAAAGCCCAAAGCAAGTAAGTATAGAGCAGGATAGATCTTTGGTGAACTTTAACTCTGGAAAGGCAGACTTTGAGGAAAAGAGGAAGAATCAGAAGTGAGGAGACAAGGGAGAGCTGTGGTCAACTGTAAGGAAGCGAGAAATCCAAAGATGTGAGAAACCAAGAGGAATTAATAGACTGGCAGAGTGGTCACAGAGAAATTTGAAATGATGATTTTAATAGTGAAAATGAAGTAGAAGCAAATGTAGGTGGCAAGGGGCAATGTAAGTGAAAAATAAAAAAGCTGGAGTAGGGAGGACACTAGCAAGCATGCAAAAATAGTTTTGTGGAATCTACTAAACTTTGAAAGGCATTAACCCGTTTCTTCCACCTGAACCAAAATTAAAAGTTGTGCATTGTCCTGTGACACAGAACATGAGACTCACAGTTGTAATTAATGGATGAACAAGTCCTAAGGGCTTAATGATTGTTTTCAAAGCCAAAGGTGAATTTTTATCTGCCAAAGGGAGTAAAAATCTTTGAGGGCAGTATTAAGCAAAAGTGCTTAATGATAAACTTACTCATCCTTTAATCTTGCATTAAGTTTAGGAAGACCCATATATTCACACAGTTCTTGAAAAAATATTTTAACAAAAATTCTACTGGATGATGTAGTAGTTTCTTCACTCAGTTTTATGCATTCAAGAACCTGCAAATTAAAATTAAAAATGGATAATTTTATTTTGGTGTTCATACGACAGGAAAAAGTGACTAATTTTTATAACCAACTTTAAGTGTCTCCTGAAATCATGATTTTCCTTCATTGCCAACCAGAATTATCTGTGAGTATCTTTCCTTACACTAATATTTATTATTTCTTGGCAAAGTTTAAGATTATTTCTTCACACTAATTTTGAAAATATTAAGATGCTACAGAATTAGAATTCATTTTCTTTCTTGAGTATGTGCTCTTTATAGCAGGGAAGATACTGTCTTGATCATATAATACGTAAGCAAGTACAAGTAGCTTTTAAACCTCATTCATCAAAATGTAGGTATACGATAGTTTGGGGCTAAATACCACTTACACATTAGGATATAGTTTTGGGTAGCACATAAAACACATGATATGGGCAAAGACAGAAACAGCGATGGTTTGTTCTGAACACCAAGACTGAGGCTTAAAAACTGAAGCTCAGGGAAAAATGTTTTGGAGCAATAAAAAGTTACCACTAGCTTTTATTGGTTATGCATTCCAGAAGCCAATTTGCTTTGATTATTCAGAACTTTGATTTCATGTTCGACGAGAGGAGGAAAAAGGAAGCAAAAATTGTTATGATTAGCATCCTGAGTTAGCTTACATGATTACACAGCAGCTGGAGACACTTGGTACTTAAAACTATTATGACTATCTAGCCAATGTTAATAATCTCATTTGATGTTACTTCATGCTACCATTAGGTTATTGTGATATTCTGTCATTTGTCTCTTTCCTCCTGAATGTATTTTCTTTTTTAAAAAACAAATTCCTTCAGTAACTCTGCTTGTTTTACTATCGACCATACTTTCTATTTTGTATAGTTGTATGTATATGTCTTTTCTCTTCTCTAGAAGGTATATTTCTTAAAGGCAGGTAGGTATCATATATATATTTGGATATGTCTTGACAGTCTTAGTGACTGTCAAGTTAGAAGTTATTGAATGAACAATTGTTATACATACAATTATTGCCAGTTTAATGAGGGTATTTCAAATGCTAGTCTAGTGTTTATTTCCTCACTAAGAATATCTTTCCTTGTTCTAACAACAGAGAAGTCTGCCTATGGCTCATCTAATTTTGATATTTTCGAAAAGAACGTATCTTTCCAGGAAATTATTTTTTTTTTAAAGTCATAACCAGAGTAAACTACTGACAGTTATACACTCAGAAAGCACAGTAACTAAGAGATTTCCATGCCACAAGTTAGTGGTGTATGTAGATATGAGTGTGTACTAAATGTGTGTTTACATAGAGAAGATGAAAATCTATATTTTCCCTGAAAACACTTCTGGCTTACTTTTAAAAGCACTGTGATAAGTAGATGGTTAATTTCAACCAAGATGGTATTTCTTAACACTTGTATATCACTTAAGTTTTTTTTTGGTACCATGTTATATGACCTTAACTACAAAGACAACTGTTGTAACAAAAGTCTGCTATACATTTATTTTAAAGTATCTTTCCCACAAGTATGGTTATGTTACACTTAAAAGTACTTTGAAAACAATAGGGGATTTGGAAGGAAGTATAAATACTGACCCATCTACTTACACTCCATGGAAGTGAATCAGTATATAAAAGGTGAGCAAACATCTTAGCAACATTTCTTAACTTGTTTGTTTCCAAGCGATGGATGGTATCATATTGTTCTTTGAATATACTTTCAAAGGATTCCATGTATTCTTTCTTTAGCATGCAAAATCGCTAACAAAAAAATGAATGTCAGCATTATACAGACATATTAAATCCTCTTAAATTTACTGAATCAAGTTAATAAATATTTTGTATATAACATTACTAAATCATGTTGTGCTATATAATTAGATGCTTCAAAAGTTACTGTCCTGATCTCTCTGGAATTTTGAAAATACGGAACCTTGGCAAATTGTTACAAAGCAAGTAGATATTCAAAAAGTTATAGAAGAATGACATATAAGAAAATGAAACATAAATGGAGGAAGCTGCAAAGTCTGAAATTGGAAAGCCTAAGGAAAAAGGAACAATTTGGTTCTAGCAAAGATATGTTATATTAGAGCAGACCATAAAGTTAAACATAATTGATATTATTCATTTTAAGAATTCCCTTACTGATTCCATTAAATTCTGACAGAAAAAAAGTGGTTGGCACTCACCCCAGCTAATAAGCCAAAAAATTTCTCATATGTCCTTTGTTGAGCACAGCAATCAAGTATCATGTTACAGAGTTCTTTCTATTTGGAAAAAAAATAACACTAATGATTCAAACATAATAAATCCAGGCTGTATATTTTACAATATGATAAATATGCTAGAGACAGAAATTTTTTTAAAAAGTCATTTCATTTATTTATGTATATAAGAGCTAGAGGTGTTGGTCAGAGATGTGGGGGTGGGGGAAAGGGCAGAATATAAATCTTTATGGAAGCATAAAGGGGAACAGATACATTGTTTACCTTCTGATTGATGAAGGTAATATCTACTTAAAAGAATGAAGAAAAACACCTCTGTGGATGAATTGTCTACCCTCAAAATGAATGTTACATCTAAGATTTGACTAAAGAAGTATCTATACAAATAGATGGAATGATTTTGTAGCTCATAAAATAACATACTGTCTGATCAGATATTTATATGCCTTAAAAAAAACAAACATACATTATGAAGCTAGCCATAGCTGCCAGAGCATGAGTTAGATCCCTAGCCAGGGAAATGACCCACATGGTGAGGCTGACCTCTCCTCTCTCAACTGCTGCTCCCCTCAGCAGTGTACTTTGTCAATATGCCTGTTCTTCTCCCCACTCTATCTCTGGTCAATCCTCTCACCACTCCTGCACCTAACCTATGGCCTGTAGCCCAGTACGCATAAATAAATAAATCTTAAAAAACCCCAAAAACTTGTCTTTGAAAATTCTGTTGAATAAATGCATGAATAAATCTAAAATTAGAAACACCATTACACAAATGATGTATAATTAACAATTATTAATTATTAACTCCTCAAATAAACCTAATAAAACATTATAGCAATTTCATATATTAATGAACTCTGGCAACATGGTCAAATAAATCACTGTAGGCAAAATGAAGATAGGTATTAACTTCCTTTACGGACCACTGTTATGGAAATGACTAAGTAATTTTTCTATGAACCTTCATTGGAAGGTTCATTTTTTTTTCTAAATACAGTAACTGCAATATATATACTTTTAGAAACAGAAAACAAGTTCATGAAAATATGTATACCCTTTTCAGCTGAATTTATTTAATTTTGTCTTCCTATTTTCAATGAACAATTCTAACATTTTGTTATAGGTAAGAACATTAGTTGCAAGTGAAGTAAACACAAAATATCTTTTTAAATTTTGGCATTTGGCCAATAAATATTTACTGCACATATCTATGAATAAGAGGAAAAAGGAAACCCGGGAAGAAAGACATTCTAAGGCTGTGCTGTCCAGGATGGTAGCTACCGGTCACATGTGGTCTTTAAATTTAAATTTTTTTAAATAAAATAATTAAAATTTTAGTTTATAAAGTTGCAGTCAAAAACTACTGATAGGTACTGCCTCCTATAATGAACAGTGCAGAACATCTTCCCATCATTACAGAAAGTTCTACTGAACAGTGCTCTTCCAAAAGTTGGTAATCTACTGATAAAGGAATCTGTTTAAAAAAAGTCTTCATAAAACAGGGTTATTCCGAGATACATAATGTTGCCAGATTATTGCTTTTTTTTTAAAAAGATTAGTCACAAGTTGCCTTGAATGTTTATGAATATGTAAGTTCAGAAAAGATGAATTTGTCAAAATTTAATATAGTATTAAAATCTTAAAATAAGGCTTTGCAGAATTCTGCCATCTTATGTTAATTTGATATATTTAAATGCATTTCAACTTTTTCTACCAACATGGCATTTTACAATAACATAACAGTTAATCAGGTTTTAAACAATGTTAACAGGGTAATATTCTTATAGCATTGCTAATAAAGACAGCTCTACTTGCAAAACAAATTACTTTCTTACCTAGATTAAATGCAATTACAAGAGTTACTCCCTGCGGCTTATGATGATTAAATATTTTAACATTTTAATTAAATATTATAGCAATTTTAGGAAAGGCTTTTGAGTGTATGAAAATAAATGCAGTAAGACACTCTTTCAAATGTTATCAAAATATGTTAAGGTTAGTTCTAGAAAAACTATCCTCTGAATTAAAACTAATAAAATTTATAATGACTTAATTATATTCCTCAAATAATGTGGCAAGATCACATAGTAATTTCAGTTTCAATTATAGTTTTAAAGGTTAATATGCTAATTTATTTTCTTTCATTGTTGACACATCAAATGCAGCCAAAGTTTAAATTGGTATGCTATTATTAATATACAAATAACTGATGGGTAAGAGGGCAAAATATTTTTTTATTTAGAAAGGATAACTTCTCAAAGTTATATTCTAACTTGGCCAACTCTGTAAAAGGACAGAAAAAGAAGTATCTTATGTTTCAGAAGCCTGTTGCAACTTGCTATATGGCAAAAGCAACAACACAAAATACAATGGTGAATGAGATGGCTGTACTGCAGTACACTTTATTTACAATTGGTTAAGGTATTAACCAGTATTTAGGCTTAACTGCAGATCATCTTTAAAGTTTTAAGACAATGGACTTAACCCACTGGGAACTCAGTTCAGACAATTAAGATCTTTTATAAGAGCTTATCTAAGCTGCCAGAACTGTACTAGGTATAGTACAAGTAAATTAGCAAGGTGTGAAAGACAAAACACTGAATGCCTTGGCTGAGGTTTCAAGGATCTAAATCCATGTGGGCAGGGAGCCATGTGTACAAGAAAACAACTATGAAAAAAAAAAGGGGTGTATGGGTAGGTACACACAACCAATCCTAAAAAAAAATCTAATTAATTTAATCTATGATTAAAGTGCTATGATACTTAGCATAGTAAAACATATTGAGTTATTGAAGAATCCTTGATACCATGTAGAGTATCTAACCTTGAATATGTGATGGAAACGTTTTTGTTGAAATAACGAATGAAAACTGACAGAATCTTCTACGTTCAATTAAAGTTACATAAAAACACATAAGCCACTTTTTGTTATTTGTATGACAAAAAATGTTTCAATGGGTTAAGTACATTGACCAAGTAACTTATTAAAGAACAAATATCCTTTTGCATTTAATTCACAATTTGATTTATAGGCAACTCTTCAGAAATTTATGTAAAGTGGTTTAGAGATGTCGTCCTTTTCTCATATTCCATTCAAACAACTCACTCGAATAAGGAGCATATATATAAGAAGCAACCTAGGGCTCTCAAGTTTGAGTTATTTTACAAAATCTAAGGCCTCCCTGTTGGCACAGGAGGTTAAGTCTCAGCACTATAAAGCTATTTGCTGCACAAGTTAGACCCAGGGCCTTGGAGCTGGTCTACATGGCATAGATGAGCCCTCCTATCCTCGCCTGCTGCTGCCCTCAGCAGTGTATTCCAGTGGATTTATCTGTTCTGCTCCCCACTCTCTCTGGTGAATCCGTTCACAGCCCCCCAGATCTCTGGCCTATACTCCATCTCTTATGTATACATAAAATAAATTTTTAAAGAAAATAATTTTACACTATCTATACTTTAAAAATAAATATTTAGCACTGAGTCATTATTTCTACTTATAATATTTTACCAATTGTCAACCAGTTTTATTACCAACATGCATTTCACAATAGAGAAAGAAATATTAACTTACTGTTTGGCTTTCAGGAAACTCCATTTTCAGCAATTTGTGAGCACATTCTTCAAAATCTAAACTGTAAAGATAAAATGATCACAAGAGTTAGGTGAAAGTGTACAGCATAAGCTGTAGGATACTACATTTAGCATTGTAGCTTACTAATTGTTTTAAATGTTTTTCTGGAATTCAAAATCATCACTTTTAACTCTATGAAGAATAAAGTACTGATATATACTACAAAATAGATGAAATTTGGATAATGTTAAGAGAAAAAAGTCTGTCAAAAATCCAGAAATAGGGCCCTCCCTGGTGGAACAGCGGGTAAAAGCACCGCACTAAGAAGCTTAAGCCACTTCTGCATGAGTTCAATCCCCGCCTGTCCTGGAGGAGATCCACATGGCGCGGCAGACCTCCCCTGACCCGCCCGCTGCTCCCCTCAGCAGTGTACTTTGTTGATCTGCCTGTACTGCTCCCCACTCTGTCTCTGGTGAACCCTCTCACCCTCCACATCTCTGGCCTGTACCCCAGTTCTGTATGCATAAATAAATAAATGTTTAAAAAAAAATCCAGAAATAGTATGATTCCTTCCACTTGTTCATTATCAGGGCCAGAATAGACAAATCCACAGACAAAAAAAAAAAAAAAAGCTTAAAAGTAGACACTACTAAATATTTCAGCTTCTTTAAGATCCAATTCAGGCAGCGACAGTTGTTCCAAGACCCCAACATATCATCTAGCACTTAATTATCACTTTTATATCTTCATTCATACTTAAACACTGGACTTTCACATTTTATAAAAACAAAGTATAAAAATAGTAAATAAAAAAAAGCCACTTGAGGGGCCCTCCCTGGTGGCACAGCGGGTTAAAGCACAGCACTAAGAAGCTTAAGCCACTTCCGCCTGCCCTAGAGGAGACCCACATGGCGCGGCAGACCTCTCCTGACCCGCCCGCTGCTCCCCTCAGCAGTGTACTTCCTCGATCTGCCTGTTCTGCTCCCCACTCTGTGTCTGGTGAATCCTTTCACCCTCCGCATCTCTGGCCTGTACCCCAGTTCTGTACGAATAAATGAATAAATCTTAAAAAAAAAAAGCCACTTGAAAAAAATGTTTTTACACAATGCTTGTACAAACTGTACTAAGAGAATTATCAAATGTAATGCAAATTTCTTTTTTTAAAGATTTATTTATTTATGCATACAGAACTGGACTACAGGCCAGAGGTGCAGGATGGGGGTTGGCAGGGGGTGAGAGGATTGACGAGAGACAGAGTGGGGCACAGAACAGGCAGATGGACAGAAATATACCAATGAGGGGAACAGTGGGGGGTCAGGAGAGGTCTGCTATGCCATGTTGGTCACCTCTGTGGCCTGGGATCAAACCCAAACTGCAGTGGCTGTGGACAGTTTCTGTGCTTTAACCCACTGCACCACCAGGGAGGGCCTATTTGCACACTTTATAGAATGTTCAAACTTAGTTTTGTTCACTATATTTCCAAAAGCAAACGGCTTTTTATAAAATATCCTCATAAGCCTTCTGATTTGATGATTGTATTTTATTCTTTATTTTTAGTTTGGTAAATTATAAACCTAAGATTTTTTAAAATACAAAAGCTGAAAATCTATAATCTAGCCTTCTTTCAAAAAAACCCAATGTTGATGTGTAAATATATTATTTCAGAATCTACATAATTATAGTCAATGCAACCTCAACAGTACCATATAGACCATGTATTTGTATTTTATCACCTAACATAGTATCAATCCATTTACTCCATTAACCTTTTTCAATGGTAGCATAAAATGAACAATTGGATTATTTGTGTTATCCAAAAAGATTGTCATTTAAAAAAAAACAAAACAGCACAATGCCGAACATAATTCTCTGTCAATAAATTTCTTTAAGAAATATGAGGGCCCTCCCTGGTGGTGCAGCAGGTTAAAGCACAGCACTAAGAAGCTAAAGCCACTTCAGCATGAGTTCAATCCCTGCCCCGGAGGTGATCCACCTGGCACAGCAGACCTCTCCTGACCCACCCACTGCTCCCCTCAGCAGTATACTTCGTCAGTCGGCCTGTTCTGCTCCCCACTCTGTCTCTGGTGAATCCTTTCATCGCCCCTGCACCTTTGACAGAACCCAGTTCTGTCTGTATAAATAAGTAAATATTAAGAAATATAATGATGAAAAAGGGTCAAATGGAAAGAATGTAGCTCTTGATACATCTTTTTTCAAAAGGCTTTCCATGAAAAGTTTATCATTCTTAATTCCTATAATGTTAATGTGTACCTCACTAAAGTTATCATTAGTACTGAGTATTTTTGTTTTAAACAGTAAATCACTTCAGCTACTTTGCTAATAACGCACTTATTTGTCTAGAATGACAGTTCACAACTAACATTTGCTTTATAATCAAATTACATGAATCTCAAAAACATGCTCTTTAAGTCAATCAAAATCTGTGTTTCTTTCCTAAGAAAGCTTAAAAGCTTTCTAGAAGCTTTCAAGTACAATAATCTTCACTATATATATAAATTATTTTATTTTTATTTTGTTTAAGATTTATTTATTCATACAGAACTGGGGTACAGGCCAGAGGTGCGGGGGTGACAGGATTCACCAGAGACAGAGCGGGGAGTAGAACAGGCAGATCAACAAAGTACACTGCTGAGGGTAGCAGTGGGCGGGTCAGGAGAGGTCTGCCATGCCATGTGGTCACCTGCGGGGCAGGTGGGGATCGAACTCATGCGGAGGTGGCCTTAGCTTCTTAGTGCAGTGCTTTAACCCGCTGTGCCACCAGGGAGGGCCCTATATAAATTATTTTTTATCATGCACTGAGGGCTCAAATTGTTTAACAAATACCAATGCATATGACAGCAATTATGTAATAGTGGCTGTCACTTGTTTCTTAAGGCTTTAATTTTTCAATTCTTTTGTGTAATTCACAGATTATTAAGATTATAATGAGTAAAAATTTTCTTTTAAATGATTATTCAAAGAGTTCCTTGGCAATGATGCAAGGTTAATGTTGATAACTTAAACAATGAATTTGCTTACTAAGAAAGGTCAAATGAAAGGTCAAATCTAAGAACAGTTAGTTACCTATAGCATTTCTCATTTTCCCCTTTAATCTTCCATGAAAAATTAAATAGCTGTTCCTTTCATGTGAAAAGCAAATACTTAAAAATAAACCAATAAAATATCTAACCAGTATTTTGCTGTTTGATATTCCTCTTTTTGAAGATGAATTTAGACAAAATATTTTCAGACAGACTGAAAACAAGATGACTCCTACTTATGAATCATTATTACTATTACATCATACTAAATGGAAATATACAAAACCTAATAAACTGAGAAAACAGTCTTCTTTAATGTAAAATGTAAACACAATACCTCCTAAATCAATAAGTCCATACAAAACAACCGATGAATTATTTAACATTTTCATACATCTCCTTTCAAAACCAAACTCATAGCAACCTTCAAAGGGAACAGGTTTTGTTTTCATGACATCATAGCAGTTCTTACTTAACATTACTTCAAAGGATCCTTAGAACTGTTCTAAATCTAATTTTTGTTTCCATTTATATTCATTTCCACCTGCAGAACAAACTAAGTGTCTAAAAGTTATACTAGTGTGTCTCTGCTTAGGCCAGAGTTAGAAACAAAATTAAGAGAAAAAAAAAAAAAAGAAAACCAACAAAAAACCCAGATGTGACTTTGACATCATTAACTACTGCCTTAGGTCTGTGATATTATCATTTCCAGGCTTTTCTTAGTGATGTTTAACTATAAGATGTGACACAGTTAGGGAAAAAAAAAACATTTAATTAGTAAAAAAAATTAGATTTTCCATATATGTTAAGACAATTTGCCATTGAAGCAAAGAACCAAGAGTAGGGACTTAGTAGGTTGGGCTTGGAATAGGAGTACACAAGCAGATAGTTTGAATTCCCTGAAATGGTATCTAGATTTATGTCATCACAGTCTAAAAATCCCATTTCCTTGCTTATCCCTTATCAAAAAAAAAAAGGATCAGCTGAGCTTCAGTATCTTACCTTGACTGAATTGCAAGATAAATTGTACGACGAAAGGAGACTAGATTAATTTCTGTTTTGTCATGAATAGTTACTTTTTGACCTGAAAGAAGTTAAACATAACAAATTATGAAAATATAAAAATGAGAAACTGAAAAGGTATCTTTTTATATCTTTCTCATAAATCTATTCAGAATCTGAATACTCATATCCACAGCATAAAGTTTTATTTGTAGAAGTCAAAGTAACTATTTTGAGTCTATGTCATCTCTTAGGAGTGTTTTAATAAGTTTTGTTAACTCAAAGTCCAGAAACAAACCAGGAAAACTATTTTTGATTCAGTGTCACCTGCTTACTTAGATACTGCAAAAGGCTATAATAATCTACTCTTCTGTAAAATTTGATTTCTGAGTTATTAATAGTATTGTAATCATTTTAAAGGAGCATAATTTATGGAAGAAATTGAACACTATATAATCATGATAGGTAGGATGGGTCCAACATAAGTATGCATTATTTGTCAAAATTTTATCTAATTTATAGAAACTCTCCCAATACATATTTACTGGTTCTTACTTAACCAGTTGTCATAGTAAATAAATAAATTTTAAAAGTAATATATAGTATGTGGATTTACACATTTTAAGTAAGAAGCATATTGGAAAAAACTAAACTTATTTTTATAAAATACATTATAGAAGAACAATTATACCTTAAGACAGACCTATAGTATATTGTGTCCAAAGCAGGAAAGACATACTTTTGTCTTAAAAAATATGATATAAGTAAATAATGATGGTTAATATAAGCTCATTTAAATATTTTAACTGGGACTGAACCAAAATAAGTTTTAAATTTATTTTCCTGTAAAAATATAATCAAAGCTGAAGAGGAAGAACATCATGCCTGCTTCTGTGCAAATATAGTTTTTGGCCTCCCCACTCTATTTTGCCAGAGTGAACAGCAAATATCTCTAGTCATTCTCATCTGTCACATTCGTGCTGAGGTTACATAAATCACAGACATTCAACATGAATGTACCTTTTTTATAGTTTAAAAATCAAAGGCATGAAATGTCAAACTAAAATTATGATGATGGCAAAAATGAATTTCCTGTTAAATATTTTTTATAGTAGGGTTTCACAATCTTCACAATACTGACATTTTGGGCTAGAATCTATTTTGTTGAGGGGGAAGTCACCCCAAGCATTCATCTCTAGATGACAGTAAGAACCCTCTCAACAGAGCGAGAACCACTGATACATATAAATCTATTAAAATTAACTTAATTATAGTACTACTTATAGTACTATTTAAATAAGTAGCACATTTACCTTCTTCATCTTCTTCTCCCTCTTCCTCTTCTTCCTCCTCCTCTTCTTCACTACTTCCAGCATCTTGGTCTGTATTGGAGTCACTATCTCCTTCATCAAGAATTTCTTTAAGAATAAATTAAATTTAGGAAAAAAATTAATGAGTGAAGTTAGTAAAATTTTTCATTCTGAGATTGTCAGTCAGTTCACTGAAATCTATAGTGGTGTGTTAACAATTGGTCAACCAACAAAGATGATCACATAGTTCCCATGTTATTATCCAGGTGGTCAGGAAACATTAAGTTGATATAAATAGTCACACGTATCACCCTCCTACCAGACATACCATTCTGGCCATAAAATGAGGAAAGGATGAGAATAGAAAATATAGATAAAGGTTTTTCAAAAAATCAAGGGCACTGGAAATTTTAATCAGGAATGAAAAACTAGTGTATAAAAACTAGTCTGACATCAGAAGACAAGTCTATTATATAAAGCTAAGATAGATAGAGAAAAAAATCTGGGTTAAGATTATTCTTTGAAAGACGAAAAGGAAAAAGAAAGAACTGATTGTTTACATTTCACTTTAAACAAAGACAATGACATTTTTAGTAAATGCATACCTATTAAATAGAACATTATAATCAATCTAAAAACTTTCCATACAACAAACAGGTCTTCAACAAAAATTGAATTCTTCATTGAATTATTACTTCTAAAATCCAACTGTAGAGTAAATGGAAGTTGTCAGGTTTTTTGCGCCCACCTGCATTAGCATCTATGACAGACACCTGGTGGTCTATATACACATGCCTGATGTGGGGAACCAGGTTTTAAGGTAAGGGCATGGATTAAGCAGATTGAGCCAAAACACACTGAGCATATAAAGGGCTATAAAGTTGGCAGTGCTGCAGGTGAGGAGGGAGAGGGGTTTTGGGAGGGAAGCCTGAAGACCTAACAGCAGAGTGCAGTGGAGAACTGCAGAGAATGACTAAGAGAGAGGAAAGAACTTAGAGGGATGGGGGTGGGGGGCAGATGTGTGGTGAGGGGGTCAAGTTGCTGTTTCCTAGTTGGCTTGTTCCCCCTAACCTGTGGGGATGATACCAAGGGCTCCAAGGTTCTCTTTTAAACTGAACTGATGATGAAACCACTGGGCCTGGGATGGTTGCAGAAGAGCAATTTACTTTAGGATATGGATGAAAGCGGCGATGCCAATTAACAAACTACATCACATGTAGTTGTAATACTATGAGAAACAAATCACTTAGAAAAGTAGTTATAATTCAGTCCTCAATTGACACACAGACCTCAAAACTTAGTATCTAACAAATGTGACTCAAGAAATTATCTTCAGTGTTCGGTTTACTATTGCATAACATGGGTTTGACAGACTTTATTTAAAAGAGGAAACTCTTTAGTATTCAATAGTAGCAAGAAAGGAACTCCTGCTGTTTTCCCAAATGCTATGAAACCTAAAACACAAGCACACCTGGGTCACTCTAAGGTGCTAATTACTAAAGCTGTGCCTACTTCCTGCTGTGCCTATCTTTTTATGCCAGCTCTAGAACATTTTATGAAAGAATGAAGGTCAATCGAGTCCTCTAGTCCTTCATATCATTCTCTTCTCATCTCTATACTTTAGAATCTACTCATTGAAATTACTTCAGCAATGGCAACTGAATTCCATTAACTGAATAAAGCAGTGGTTTTCCCTGACTCCCTCAGGGGATCACAGAAACTTGTCAAGTGCTTTGTGAGGTCAAAACTATTTCCATAATAATACTGCAACAAGATCTGCCTTTTCAGTGTGCTGATATTGGCAAAGATGGTCCAAAGGTGACAGGGTTAAAAACTGCTGCAATCTGAGCCCTAATCAAGGCATGTATCTGCAGTAGCAATTCTGGTGCTCTTTACTGACACTCTGCCTATATTGGAAAAAGGCCAGTTTCACTTAAATGCCCAACATGAGGAAGAAGGTAATTATTAATTTTATTAAATCTGAGATGTTGAATATATAGGCCTTTATAATAATCTGAATAATGAAACAAGAAGTTCATATACAGCACTTCTGTTATAGACAGATATACAATGTTGCCGGTTATCCCAAGGAAAAACATTTGTGTAACTGTTTGAATTCCAAGATGAATTAGCTATTTTCATTTTTACTTGAAAGGCATGGCTGACAACTATAGATGTTAGGTATTTGGCACACATTTTTCTCAAATACAAAAAAAGCGAGATTGTCACTTCAAGGAAAATAACACTATTTGAACCAAGCAAATCTAAGAGAAAAATTAGAATTCTGTATTCCTGTGAGATAGCTTTCATTACTCAGATATTTCTGACAAGTAATATTAATAAAAGTGATTTCTTGATATCGCATTATTTAATTTTGATAATTTAATGTGTTAACTAACACAGAATGTATATAACATAATGATTATTTTCCAAGTGTCTGGAAATAATGCATGCATAAAAGATCCATTCAAAGTGACAGGCCAAGGGATTTGAATCTAAGACTAAAAATTTGTGATACTGTCTTGGATTTCAAATTATAGTTCATCTTTAAGAAACTACAAACTCTTATATATTGGCAGTGTTAAGGAAGGACATAACACAAGTATCTGAAAAAGCTATTAAAATACTCCTCCCTTATCCAAGTATAGGTCTATGTGAGGCTTAATTTTCTTCATATTACACTTGAATCAAAACAACCTATTACAACAGACTGAAATCAAATATGATTATTCAACTGTTTCCTATTAAGTCAGATATTAAGCTACACAAAATAAAGCATCCTTCTTCTTACTATTCTTGTAATAATTTTTATAGACAAATATAACACGTTATATACTAGGTTTAATGCTATTTTGAAAAAAATTACTATATTTTGTATGCTCAGTTTTAATTTCTCATAAAGTAAATACCAACAGATAAAATGTAAATAAACAAAACCTCTCTGGAATCCTCACTAGTTTTCAAGAGTATAAAGGAACCTTGAGACTGAAGAATTTTAAGACGTGCTGTAATAAAAGAAAGCGTTACTTTACTGACACTGGCCAACTGTTGTGACTAAAGAAATAGATGGGGAATTGCCAAGTTAAAAAAAAAAAATCATGCCAGGTATAATAAGAATTCCACAAAATCATTACTACCTTTTAAATGTAGGAAAACTTCACAAGGATGGAAGAAAATATATCTAAAACATTCTCCATGTCTGGAAAGTAAAATTATTAACAACAGAAGGGATCTGGTTGTTGCAGCATCTAAGGAAAGAAACCTCTTTACTGTAATAGATTTTTAGGATATAGAAGAGAGTTTTTCAGACCTGTACTTTCCACTCAACATTCTAAATCAAGAATGACTAAAACACTGAATACAGATAATGACAAAGTTCCAGGATTTTGCTTTTTCTTCAGAGAGGCTTTCAGGGAAATGAAGTACTTCTTAGGTAAAATCACAATTCAAAGGCAATAAATAAAGTTATATAGTGTTACTATTCTCAGTGACCTAGAATATGAGCTTTAGAAGAAAGAAATATGAAAAAATTTGTGTATCTCAATATTTGTAGAAATACAAAGCACCATATTTTACTTATCTTTACACACACACACACACAAACACACACACAGCACTTACCTTTTATAGCAAACAAGCAACTTGTTCCAGATCACTTAACTAGCAAAATGGCGAAGAAAGAATACAAACCAAAGTCTGTCCAAAGTTAGTACTTATATTAATGATACACAAAAGATAATGAACCAACTAATCAATTCATAAGCGCCAATACTATAGATAGCAATATTAATGATACACAAAAGATAATGAACCAACTAATCAATTCATAAGTACCAATACTATAGATAGCAAGGTGACTGATGTTATTAGAAAGACATCAACTTGTCTTCAAGAAGTAATAAAAGGATAGCACTTAAAAGACTATATGATTATATGGCATTTGAAACAGTAATTCTTAAGCGTCAGTGAAGTTAAATTAAGGACACTAGTAATATATGAAAATGAGGAAGTATGAGATTTATAGAAAATTGTGTGAGTGAACAGTGAAGAGAACATCTCAGTAAGGTGCAGCTCAGTAATCTATACCTCTTTGTCATATTATGTAACTATATAAATTGCGCTACTTGCCCAAAATAAACAAGTCAATAAAATTCTACATACCCTTCTTAATAGCTTTATACTTCTCTTCATTCTCCATAAAGTTAGGATCCATCTTGAAAACATCTTAAAAAACAAGTTTAGAGTTAAGTGTTTATTTTCTATATTTACATATATTGGCCCCAACTTGCCAACCCCAACCCCCTGACGTACTAAGAACATCTTCTGGATTATAGTCATCCTCCAGAGGGAGCATATGGGTGAACTGATCATCTTCTTCTACTAAGTCAAGTCCTTCTAGAATAACAGGGTGGTCCTTAAATCCATCCTTCCGAACAGCAAACATCACTTCAATCATATACTGAACTCTCTTGTCAATTTCAGATTCATGGAGAATGTTTCGAAGGCGTTCAAATATAGCTAAATTTAAACAGAAAGGCAATCAAATAAGCAAAAAAGGTTATATTACTCTCATAAAAGCTCATATCAAATCTATACTTACCATTGATTCCTCTTGGTGACACCTGTGTTAATTTCAGGCCACATTCCTTGAGAAAACCAATGGCCACTTCAACACTATCATCTGTTGGTCTTTCCAGAAGCAAAGTGAGCATCTCTAAACATAAAACTTCATGTGCCTTAAATAGAATGAACACACATATAGAGAAAATGCTTTTACGTATATTAACCTAGGATTGATAGTGATAATGAAAATCAGTAAATCTGTTCTTTTGCACTGACAATACTGTGCATATGATGAACTACATTTCATAATATTCATAGAAATACTCCAAACAAAGGATACCATTGTCCAAATAACTATTAGTCCCTAAATCTAATTCACTAGAATACAACTGAGTTATCTTCAGAAAAAATCTTCCTCCAAATTCATTATATATGAAATATAATGTACATTATCTATAGAAAGTGACATATTTAATCTCAGAATATTTAAAAATTATGCAATTTTACTCTGAATTATTTTTAACAGTCACAATATGAAGCAAAGTACTATGATTCTTTTTATAATACCTTTCTCCATATCACTGTTATGGAGTCTTGTATTAGAGTCAAGGAATTATTGCTATATATCACAATTGGAAATATCTAAAATATTCATAATTTTAACTGTTTTGTGACAATGCCAAAAACATCTCCAATATAAATGCAAACTACATTCAAAAACTGAAAAATATTCTTTGTGCTGTTATAGAAATGTGAAGTTCCCATGGCCACAAGTAGCTAATCAGATTAAATGTTTCTAAGAGAAAATACTGGAATGTATCTCATGTAGGAAATAATTAAAATATTATTTAATATTATAGAAAGGTTATGTAACTTCAAAATCCTTCCTCATACACACATAAATTAGGGATAGTCCTATAGACATGTATGAAGTACACTTCAGTATGAACAAGAGCTATTTTACCATATTCAAACATAAATAGAAACTGAATCAAAATTTAAAATAGAAAAAACACAAAGAGAACAATAAAATGATACAATTATTTATATTTAAAACTGATTAAAAATTTTAATTTCTTTCACCTAATAAGCCAATACTGAGAATATATGGCTATACAAACACACACACACACCCCTATACATATACACATATATGTAAAAACTATGTAGTTGAAGAGAAAAGGGATTTTAAAAAGAATATCACATATTATTAGATTCTCCTGAATAACAGATCCTGGGGAAAGAAGTGGAGGGAGATATCAAAATTACTGTTTTATGAAAGTGATTAGATTATATCCTCTTTGAAGGAATAAATGGTTTTTAAATAATTGTGTACAATATTAAGAATTAATCAATTTGATAAAACTCTTATTCTGGTTCTTTACACTAAAAGATGTTCAATGTATTTATTGTCTTTTTAAAACTAAGTATCATCCAAGATTCTTTTTCCATGGTATACAAAACAATATAAATCAAAACAAAAATAGAACTGTCACTCTGAAGTGGCATCAAACTTGTGTAGACATCTAACGCTAATACACAAAGCTGTGATGATTACTTACCACATTTTGGTTAATAAGATGTGCCACAAATTTCGAAGCAGTCAGACAAAGTTGCTAAAATATGAAAATAGAGACAAAGAATCTATAAACTAAAACCAATTTTCATTTATTTACAGATTCAACCACTTACATACTTTTTAAAATATGTAACCTGGGAGCCCTCCCTGGTGATGCAACAGGTTAAAACACCGCTTTATAAAGCTATCCGAAGCCACTGCCCCGTGAGTTCAAACCCCATCCTGGAGGTGACCCACATGGCACAGCAGACCTCTCCTGAACTGCGTGCTGCTTCCTTCAGCAGTGTACTTTGTCAATCTTCCTATTCTGCTCCCCACTCTCTCTGGTGAATCCTCTTACCCACCACACCTCTGGCCTGTACCCCAGTTCTGTAAGCATAAATAAATCTTTAAAAAAAAAAAAAGTAACATGGAAGGATAATTTTCACATTATCATTTACTGGATAAAAACTAGTATGTGAAAGAGCATGATTTTTGATTAGTTATTATTTTTGTGGCTGATTAGTGGCCAGGGATATTTAATAGACAAAAAGATGTTCTCATGAATATATTAAAAAAAAATTCCTATGTAGAAATCAACATTGCCTTTTATTGATACTGTTGTCAGTTAGATCCTATGTTGATACTGGTTGCTAGTTAAATCCTATGTGACAGTCTACTTACAAGCCTATCCTATATACCTTATCATTTCGTCGATAGCCTTTTCGAAAATTAAGAATTAACCTCTTGAGGATCAATTCTCCAATTTGTGGAAATTTTGAGTTGATAATAGCAACCAGTGCTGCATATACATGGGTGAAGATTGGAGAAGCACTCTGTGCTTGCAAAACAGATCTGGACAAGAGACCCCTGTTTTAATAAAGTGAAAAAAAGGAAGTCAACAATAAACAACAACTTAAAAAGTGGCAATATTACTACTTGGTAAATAATTACAAAAGCTAAATCAGGCATTAATTTATACCAGTTTATCTAGGGGAAGAATTTGTCTTACTAATAAAAACTACTTTTGTAAAAGCAAAACTTCAACTTCTGCTTTTATAAATTAGATTTCACTATAATTTTTTCTGTTTACTATAGCTAAACATGAGTTTGAGTTTTTTAAACATTTTAGATATAAATTTGTTGAACATTTATAAAAATGTGAAGAAAAAAGATCTACTTTAAAAGTACTAAACTAGTTAACATAAAATTTCTCAATCTCATTTATATAAAATTAATACTGTGATAAAAAACACATTTGGGTGGTTTTCACTTTTAAACTATTTTTAGTGAAATAAAAATAAAAATATGAAACATTCCTATGAACAGTATAAAGACACAATCAAAACACTGCAATAATAATGCTATAATTCGGAAGGACAATGAAAAAATTCGACATAACTAATTTTGAAACTGTCATATTTCTATATGCATTTGATAAGGGAGAGATAGTAATAAGTGAATTAACTGCACAATCACTTTTTATAATTTAAGGACAAATAATTCTGGACTCTCAGAAAGTTGAAAGACAGTATCTTAATAGTTATCAGGCTTAGGTATGACAACTGACTCACTAGTGCAGAAAATGAGAAAAAAAAAAATCCAGCTTATCAATTTAAGGTTTTAAGAAACACATCTAACTGCTCTGAGTAAATGGGTGAAGCTTGTCTACCTCTGAGGGCATTAGATGCCCCATAACATGGTATGTCTTATTTATTTCCCAATGATTTCAGAGATGAGAGGTTAGTCATTTGCAAATAACAAAGAAAAATAGCCCTAAGATTTTAAAATAAGTAAAATATGATATATATTTTTCCTGTTCCTTTTAAATAAATATCACCAACTTAAAAATACACAGAAAATGCTATATCTCTCTTCTACTTTTCTAAAATTTATTATCTTTCTCACTTTTTTTAATTAGATATTAAACTGATTTCAGGTAACATATGTATATATTCATTTAACTTTAAACTTAATTTAAATATGTGTTTAAATACTGAAACAATTCAATTAACAAATGCCTGCAAGTCACTAAATGACAGAAAAGCTTCTTCAAAGCATAAAACCCCATACAACTCCTAACAAGTTATGTTAGTGACTTATATTTTTATAAAGATTTCATTTTAATTAAATATTCTCAACTACCTTTAAAATAAATAGCATAATAAAGCAATGATAATGTTCATGTTTATACTGTGTTCCTTTGAAAAATTGATAAGAAATACTACAAATAACTGATGCTTACCTTCCTCTAACTATATTTTCTTGAAGTAGTTCTTGAATAATAATACCTATATTAGAAATGTTGACCTTATTGATAAGACCATTGATTGACTTCTTGAGGGCCTCCCAGCTCATTCTCTGGTATGCTAAGCTGAAAAAAAAAGTAATTTAGTAAAGAAAAACTTAACAATTACAAGAGAAAAACAGAATTACAAGAAAAATACCATGGTCCTTTATTTTTTAAATTTTTACAAAATGACACAAAGTGCAATAAAACACGACTATCTGAATATACAAATGATATTCAAAAAATTTAAACATAAGTTTAAAATATTTATTTATTGTACACATGATGCTTAGGTACAGACTGCTCCATCCTAATACATTATATGTAGTTATATCCCTCTGTACTGCAATTTACAATGCTTGATCTGTCAATACCTGCTTATTTTATCTTACAATACTTCATTTACTTAAACCTGTCTTTAAAGAAACATTTAATGTATAGCAAATTTTTATTTATAATATAAAATACCCAATCACAAACATAAAAAGAAATATATCTTCCTTATATAAGCATAACATATAAAAATTAAATGTTTTAAACTATAAAAATGGCAATATAGGAAAAGGTAAAGTAATATGCCATTATGGGGGCAGAAAGTTCATTCCAAGTATTTTAACAAACAATGTTATATTTAAGTAGTAATAGTCCCTCAGTCCTTTCCAACACTGCTCTGGAAATCTGGTGAAACTAAAGGAATTCTTGGAATCTAAACACAAATACAGAGGATTATGGAGGATAACAGTTACATCAAAATATGGAAAGAATGAAAGTTTGATATAGCTTCCTATGTGCTCTAACACATTAAATAACAAGTGGTCAAAATAATTTTTATTTACAGGCATATATACAAACATTATATTTGCAACAAATAGTCTGTTAGTATGTGGTCTGCTGCCTATATTCCCAAAAGAAAAAAAATGATAAATTTTAGTTAGAGTTGAGTAAAGTCAAGATATAATGGATTGCCTGAATTCTATCCATTAATGACCTCTTGAAAATCTGTAAGTGAAGAGTCTGTGTTCTGAAGTGGTAACTAGCCTTATCTTGGCGGAATAATATAATTTCTTGAGAGCCAAATTTAGTTAGACCACAGGTGATTGTATATTTTTTTTCCTGAGGATACTACAATATATACTTAGTAAAACTGACATACCTGTTTTTATCTGTAATCTGTTCTTGCATCATCCTGAGCTTTGCAGGAGGAATATATGCTCCTCCAGTGCGAGTAAGGAGAGGATCCAGCTCATCTTTCTTCTTTTTTGTAGTAGGTTCATCCTGAGCAGAGGAACTCCAGGTTACTGATGATTCTGGACTTCTTCTCCTAGGAGATGGAGTTCTACGGGACCTCTTCCGATCCACATCTCTCTCTCTGCGTTTTTCTCGATCTCTACTTCTATAGTATTTTTTTTTTTAATGGAGAAAAGATACAATTTTAAATGAACTGCGTACTGCATGAGTGAGAACATAAGTGGGTCTTACAAATTCAGATTAGGAAAAGTGTTTGGGAGTGGTGAGGAACTCAAACTAGGCCTTCAAGGGTGGACAGGGCTTATTCTGGATCAAAGTGGGAAGAGAGACTCAAAGGAGGAAGGGGGTATTCTGCACTCGCATAAGATAATGAAAAACCAAGGCATGTTCGGACCAGAAAAACAGACAGGAAATTTCCTGATTCACACAAAACAATAGTTGGAGAGATGTTAGGTCAGACTATTAAATGGAGAGTCATTATAATTTTTGAGTGAAACAGTACATGAAAAGTGTTAGAAGATAAAATGGCCTGTGAAATATATGCTAAATTGTACAAAAGAAAAAACTGGAGTTTATTTCTAATAATGACAGTTTAGAAATAAGACTGTTACTAAAAATATAATACTGTAAGTTGTTTCCTGATAAAATGTGTATTTTTATTAGAAACCTCAGAATAGCATATTTCTAGCTAAGATAACGTTAAACAAAAAAAAAATCAAGCATTTTCTAGTCATAACATATCACTTCCTTAGTAACACAGGTACATCCTTTCTTAAGTGAATACTTCTTTTATTTTTTAAGATTTATTTATTTATTTATTTATTTATTTATACATACATACATACATACATACATACAGAACTGGGCCAGAGGTGAAGGGGCGGTGAAAGGATTCACAAGAGACAGAGTGGGGAGCAGAACAGGAAGATCAACGAAGTATACTGTTGAGGGGAGCAGCGTGTGGGTCAGGAGAGGTCTGCCACGCCATGTGGATCACCTCACGGGCGGGCGGGGATCGAATTCTTGCAGAAGTGGCTTTGGCGGGCGGGGATCGAACTCTTGCAGAAGTGGCTTTAGCTTCTTAGTGCTATGCTTTAACCCACTGCGCTACCAGGGAGGGCCTTACGTGATTATTTTTAAACAACCAGGGTATTGCTCTCTGAACCTATTAACAACTAATAGCAAATAGGGAAACCTTACTTTTTGCTGTCTTTTGCAAGAAAGGAGTTTATTCCTCTAAATACTGCTTTGGAAAACTCAGATCATCTGCTCATGTTTGGTGCAACCGTATGTTGTATGATTACAGTGAGTAAAGATAAGTTTCATATGATTACTGCGTTTCCAGGAAACCACTAGACAGACTTATACAAACTCTAGAGGGCAAAAGCAGTCACAACTCAGACATCAGTGGAGAAGTAGTTTGGAAAAGAGACCTAAATGAATGCTAGTGTGAATAGAAGACAGAATGAACAGAGAGGGTAACCGTGGTTACAAACAGAAATGCCAATCACTAAAAGCAGGTACCCTGTATTCTAGGCAACTGAATTGACTACTCAAGAGTATTATGTTCTAAGAGAGCAAGGATTTATTGACATTGGTTGTGATTCTTCTGAGAAACACCTAGTAAGAGAAATTTAGCTTGCTGATAAAATCCTTCCTTACAAGTGTAGTTTTTGTTCTTGCAGCCTGCAGAAGTAATAGAGTCTTCTTTGAAATAAATAGGAACATTTTTCTTCAAATGCTTTGGGACTGTTAGCCTATTATGTTACTGTATGATTAAGTGTATTAAATGGGACTTTATACTGAATCAAACACAGAGTTAAACTCATGTAAAACAGTCAGAGGTTATGGACAAAAACATGGGTTTTGGATTCAAAATTGAGCTCAAATTCTTACTTCATGATCTACCAGATAGATAACGACAACCTTAGGTTACATTATTTAATCATGTCAAACTCATTTCCACATATATAAACTGGTAAAAAACAGTGTGTAGATTCTAAGAGTTCTGACAGTATTAGAGGATGTATGCAAAATGCTTAGCTACCAATTGTGGTGGTAGTAAATTGTTCTTATAAGGTGAGAGCAGATGAGTATGGTTTTCAGATTAATTTTATGTAGATTAGACAGTAAGTAATGAGAAGGACATTTTTGGTTGCAGAAACCAAACTATATGTCAGCTTTAAACTCAGAGGAATCTGACCAAAATCCTTTTGGTGGGTAAGTATTGGTAGTTATGGAATGGATAATATGAGAGAGACATCAAGAGGGATATAGAGGGCCCTCCCTGGTGGTGTACTATGTAACTACCATAGTCACTGCAGCACGAGTTCGATTCCAAGCCAGGGAGGTGACCCAGATGGTGTGGCAGCCCCCTCCAGACCCACTCGCTGCTCCCCTCAGCAGTGTATTTCAGTATATCTGCCATTTCTGCTCCACACTGTCTCTGGAGAAAACTCTCACCACCATGGCACCTCTGGCCTGTACCCCAGTTCTTATATGCATAAATAAATAAATCTTAAAATAAAGAAGGATATAGAACTTAGTGAACAATGATGCATGGTAAGTAAGTTTTTAAAACTGGATTACTAATAAGATAGGTAATCAAAATCCCCAAAATGCAAATAAAAATAATATATTGTATCATATATAAACTACTTTTTTCACTCTGTATAGGATCTCAAAAACTCACATAAGCCAAATCACATATACAAACTCCTCAGGTAGTATGGTACAATCAAGAATTCTGTTTCTAGTCAGATAGAATGGACTGGCTTCTAAAACATATATGACTCAACATCTCTAAGCCTCAGTTTTTTCAGCTGTAAAACAGGTATCATAGCATCTACTTTATATATTTACTGAGATAAGGAGTTAAGTCTCATTGAGTCCATATCAGAAAATCCTTTTAATAAAGCCCAGCATTTAAGACTATCCATGTAATATTAGCTGCTTTTCACTATAAAGCACAAAGAGATACAAATGTAATTTTTCTATAATGAACAATTTCAGTACTAACCGTGACTCCATGCTGTTATCATAAGAACGTCCTCTTCTTGAATGTTCATAGTCTGACCTGCTATAATCAAAGTAATCTCTATCCCGAGGAGATCTTTCTTGTTCTGCATATCTAATGCATAAAATAAGAAAACCAAAGGTATAATTATGCGATAAATTCTTAGGAAAGTCATGTGGTAGTAAGACTAAAGCAACTGTATGACTGAACATTGTCTTGTCAAACTGTTTTGAAAGAATAGTTCATTTTGTTGAGGGCCATTCATTCACTATTAAAAAAAAAACAGACAAACTTTGTGCTCGTACAAAACAACTAGAATTTACTTAACTAAACTTATTTATCAAGATTCACTATCCTTAAGTAAAATACTACATGTGTGTATCAATTACAGTTAGCATGAAAAAAAGCTATCCTGCAAATGACTTCCTTTATTTAGTTGACTCTTTTTATCAAAGCACTGAACAAAAAAACCCAAATCATTGGCTGACCTCAATGACTATTTTAACTCCACTTTCAAAGACTATATTCAACAGTTGTTTGTAAAATTCAATTATTGGATAGCAGTGAGAATGGATTGAAATCATCAGCAAATAAGAACAGATAGGATTAAGATCTTCCTTAGTCTTTAAAATCAATAAAATCAGAGAATCTTAAGACAAAATATATTTACACAGATTATATATAGCTCTATAATCCACATTTTTCATTTTACATACACATCTACAATTAATTTACGCACATATTTAACTATGTGTGGATATAGAGACTTTTTTTTAATAAATAGGGAGTAGTAACTGATGAAAGGTAGTAAGTAGTTGCAAACTATAGTCATTAACTGGATGTCCATTAAGTAGGGGAGGGTATAAAGTAAAAACAACAAAGTGTATATGGAATAAGAAAGATATACACAATTGAAATAAAGTTAAAAGGGTACTTTTCCCTTCATTTTTTAATGTTAAAGTTTACTAAGTGAAATAACTGAAGTCCCAATATGAATGCATAATGAATATCAATGGTAACATTTCTAGATTTTTATTTAAACACAATTATGATGAGATATACTGCATATAAAAATATGTTAGAAACTATAAGCTATATGAAGATAATAGTAGTAACAAAAGAACTTCAAAATAACATGATTGCAACTTATTTTCCATTTTATAAATGTACACTCACTTAATTAGTATTTAAGATAAAAATATTTCTTCTCATATAAAAAAATTACATAAAATCTAGGGTTATTTCTTAGAATTTTTAGAACAGTCATTCAAAGAACATGAGTCCTCAAGATCATTCAAGTAATAATAGTTATAAATCATTCAAAAGAAGTTGTTCAACCTAAAATTAGCAAAGGGCAAAATTATTTATTGAACTTATTTTAAAACATCTAAATTGCATCTGGAATACATAAAATTGTTTACCTGTCTTCTGGAGAGGAAGTCCTCTGATATGAATTGTAGTTTTCCCTTCTGTCATGACCAGAAGAATGCTTTCAGAGTGAAAAAAGAAGTGGAATGGGCATTTCAGATTATGTTAAAAAATACACAATGAAATATATATATCTTGGAAACCAGAAGTGTATTAGAAAGTCTTTCAAGCCTTTTTTTTTTAATTGTAAGACTAACTCTTATTACCTAAAATATATATAGGACAAAACAAAATTTTCAGGATATCCAAGGTAAATGTCTATAAAAGAATTTTCACGATGGACAACACATTGCTTATGACCTTAAAATCAGATAAAGGAATATAATTATCAAACTTCTGATGTCACTAAAACTGTACTTACCACTTTTAGTTCCTTTGGCTCTTAGAAACACAACTTTAGTCCAGATTACTGAATCTGAATGAAATAGTTCTAAGAAACTGACACTAATAAATGCATGAAGTTCATTCTGTTTTCAAACATTTAAGTGTCTGATATGCATGGCACTATGGTGGGATTAAGAAAACCTGACTGGTAAGATACAATGCCCATGCAAACACTTGGGAAAAAAAAAGATACAGGTTACATGAGACAAATAGCTTGAGAACATATGCTAATTCAAAAATCCAAATACTTTAAAAAAAGAAATAACTGATATATATAAATATAAAATGAAAACAATTTTATACCACTGGTCAACATTCATATGGACAATTTTTTTCTTTAAGAATTAAAATATTTTGGCCCTCCCTGGTGGTGCAGCGGGTTAAAACACAGCAGTAAGAAGCTGAAACCACTTCTACATGAGTTCGATTCCCGCCTGCCTGGGACGTGACCACATGGCTTGGCAGACCTCTCCTGACCCGCCTGCTGCTCCCCTCAGCAGTGTATTTCTTCTATGTGCCTGTTCTGCTCCCCACTATGTCTCTGGTGAAGCCTTTCCCAGCCCCTTGCACCTCTGGCCTGTACCCCAGTTCTGTATGCACAAATAAATAAATCTTTAAAAAAAAATTAAAATATTTTACTTAATCTAAGTACAAGAAAGGAAAAAATGTTTTTGTACGTACTTAAGTCTTGAACTCTAAGAAAAATAGATCAAATAATGAACAGTCAGTTCTGCATACTTAATATGTTTGCCTCCTTAATGAGAAGATAATTTAAAGATAAGTAATTATACTGCATAAAAGTAAAAACAAGCTCTAACTTCCTCCTATTTTACAACTAATTAGTTACGATTTTACAACTTCCTCCTATTTTACAACTAATGCGTCTAATATCACAACTGCAGTCTCATCTATTAAATTTCTTGACAGTATACACTAGCTAAAATAATGCATAGGTAAATAAGATGTGATTAAAATTATTTACAGTAGTCATAGTTTATTTCGAATGAAAAAATCCTGTTTCTAAGGTTTTTAACATAATTTAAAACATTATTTCACTAAGTAACACAATGATGAAGAATTGTTCAATATGCATCACATAGGAATAAAAAAATCTGACCTCAAGATCCCAAGGCAGATAGGTACATTAGAGTTATGTCATTCACAGCAGCATCAAATATAGTAATTGCTCATCATTATTAAAAGACATAGCCCCTCCTGTATAGACACACTGGAGGGTAAAAAGGAAAAATCCTCAAGCAATTTAGGCTCTTGTAGGAGAGGTGGTTACCAAGAATTTATAGTGAAATAAATTAGATTACATGCTTCCGAGAAAAATAATGAAGAGGAGGAAGAGAGAGAGAATAATAAAACTACTGTCTGCTTTTTTCTTTTACAAGGCATGGTAATTATTTTGATTACATTAGGGAGACAGCCTCAATTCCATGCTAATGATTTTTAACACATCTCCGCAACATCTGTTGTGAACAAGGGGGAGAAACCAAAAATACTGAAGTCGTGAATCAAGATTTTGTAAATATGATCAAGTTAACAAATGACTGGCACGCAGAGTAAGTGCTAACAGGACATCCTGAATAATCATCATTGTGATATGGTATACTGAGGGATGATAGAAGGTAAAGTCTACTTGAATTAGGCTTTGGGAGATAAACAGGATTTCACTAAGTGAAAAATCATTTTGAGGTGTGATCCAAATAATAATCTGAATTTCTTACTTCCCTTTTCAGATTATAAATCAGAGCAACAGCTGAATATACAGTAAAAATTACCTAAACTGTTCATTAAGCAAAACAAATACAGTATACCATGCAATCACTTGTAGTACCTGACAGTGTAGAGACCATCAGTACAGGAGGTGAGTGAAGCAGGGAGCCTGAGTACAGATGTTTGAAGCATCCAAGCCTTTAAGTCTTGGAATAAGCCTTCAATAGCAAGGGTGAAGGGGGGCTGGAAGAGGCAGGGGGCTAGCTTCCAACCAGCTAAGAAAGCCACATTGAGGTTTCATGGAAAAACAAGGGATACTTATCTGAAGCCTAATGAACAGATGTATGCCTCCTTACAGATGAGACCTCGATTATCAAGGGAAAATCTGAATTTCACCGAGGTAAGAATGGGTCTAACCATTAGTGCACATTTTGTAGCTAACAGGATGGAAGGAGGTAGATTAATCTAAGATCTGGCCGGGAGGGCAGAGCCACCAAATGGGAGATACCTAGGCTCCAGGGATACCATGAAGCCTAGGTATCACTAAGTGAAAAATCACTAAGCCTAGGATTTCACTAAGTGAAAAATCATTTTATTTATTTATTTTTTTAAAAAAAGATTCATTTATTTATGCATATGGTACAGGTCAGAGGTGCAGGGGCAGTGAGAGGATTCACCAGAGACAGAGTGAGGAGCAGAACAGGCAGATCAGCGAAGTACACTGCTGAAGGGAGAAGCAGGTGGGTTAGGAGAGGTCTGCTGTGCCATGTGGGGTCACCTCCAGGGCCAGGGATCAAGCTGAGGCAGCTGTGGCAAGCTTGCAATGCTGTGCTTTATTCAGCTGCCCCACCTGGGAGGGTCCTCAAGACCATGTTTTTAACATAAGTTTCAAACACTTACTTTTATTTGTGCCACACTACTCTTCATTTTGTTGCCAGATGATCTGAGAAATCAAAGACTTTTAATTGGTTCCAAATAACAAGTACTAAATGGTATGAATTCCTTGACAATTTACTTGTTCTGTCTGTAAATGTCACCTATAAAATACACCAAAGAAAGTTTTACTAACGATGGTAAAAAATGTGTGAAATAACATCTTATTTCTGCACAATGGACATGCGATCACCTTATTTTTCTTAATCAATAGGCCTTAAAATTAAAAAAAAAATTCTTTAAATAGTTCTACACAACAGAGCACAAACACTACAGTAGAAAAGACTTGAACAAGAAAACAGTTCAAGAGCTATACACTAGATATTTTGTTCTAAAGTTTGACAGTGAAATTTAAAACTGTTATCAGACAACTTTATTCATAAAATAGCATTGTGCAATTATGAAAAACAAATAATCACAGGAACATTAAGTATGACAAACTATATAAACTGAATGTAAAATATACAATGTTTCTATATAAGCTAAGAATGATTTATCCAATGTTCTTGTAATAATGATCACTCAGAATAAATATACTCCACATGGAACTATAAAGTAAGAACTAAAACAATTAAGTCTTACCGCAATCTAGCAAAAGCACAACACTTCAGATAGGTGCACATATGAGAACCAAGTATTTGGCTCAGAATAAACCTAGCCATCAACAATGAATGCTAAAATGTCTTTCAATATCCATCTGCTAAGTAAATTTTAGTAAGTGTTTGAGAATGCTGAATTGATAGTAATTGATAGTTATATTCACACAGAACTGTCATTCAAGTATTTTACTGAATCTAAACATCTAAAAGACTTATGGTTCATGCAAATTACCTATCTAAACAGTTTATAGTATATTGAAGTTACATACATGGCTTATAATATGGTGTGTAGCAACAAAATTACATAAAGTGAAATGGAATAAAATATTAAAAGAGGCAGAGAACATAGGGAAAAATCAAAATAACTGAATATAACTAGAATTATTTTTTTTTAATTTGTGAGAAAGGATGTTTCAGGTTATCAGAGCCATTAACTTCTTTTTGATAAAAACCCTGGAGATCGGATAATTTATTTCAACACCTTAAGAAATAGTATCAGTCATCAGTAGACTTAAAATTAGAAACAAAGCCTAAGGATACCCAGTGAATTATATTGGACTGGTTATACTGGACAACACAAATTCTAAATGATTATATACAGACATTTGGACTTTTAGTCATGGTGGTCTTAAGATTCATGATGCTCTTAAGATTCTTGGTGCTCTTAAGAATCTTTATAAATGGTATTAAATAATTCTTTAGATACTAGCAAAGTAAAATAATTCATAGCCACATTTTTGGGAAAAATTTCTTGGTTTTTTTTTTTTAATTTTCTTATTTTTTTCTTTACTTTTTCAAATCTGTTTATTTTGGGATAGTAGTTGATTTCCTCAAGTACAGTTCCTATGGTTCTCTCACCATCATAGCACCCATGCTCCACCCCTCCAGTCCCTTCTGTTCTTCCCTCCCCTGTTTTGACTCCTCTCCTTCTCCTGCTGTATAGGCCTTCCTGATTCACTTCTCTTAGAATCCCTTCCAGCTCCATCCATGATGCTATAAATTTCATGAGTTTATCTTTTTGACTGCTGAGTAATATTCCACACGTGTATGCCACATCTTTTTGATCCAGTCATCTACTTATTCATCATACATTAGGAAACACCTAAATGAGATGTTTCCATATTTTGACTATTTTAAATAGTGCTGGAGTAAACACAGGGGTGCAGGTTTCCTTTCAGATTAGTGGTTTTGTGTCCTTTGGGTAGGTTTCTAGGAGTGGAATCACAGGATCGTATGGTAGATCCATTTTTAGCGTTTTGAGGAACCTCCACACAACCTTCCATAGTGGCTGGACCAGTTTTCCTTTCTAGCAGTGTAAGAGAGTTCCTTTTTCCCCCACATCTTGCCAGCCTTTTTTCTTGGTTATTTTTCCAAGGAAAACGAAGACTATGGGAAGTAAGAGATAATAATTCTCATCCTAGAGTTTTTCTATGCTATAATTACCAATGTGTGATCTCCCAGTCTTAAATGGTGCTGTGGCGCTGCTGTAATACCAAAAAGTAACTTAAAACAAACAGGAAAACCTGGAAGTAGAGATACTATTACTATTATAAACTTGACACATGATCATGACCCACTGAACAACAGTGTAGATATGGATTAATCACATCTCCAGAAGATAATGGTCTTTCCTTCCCCTTGGGCTGAGTGGCCAGAATGGCTATGAATTAAATGAATGCCTTCATCATAGCAATAAAGGAAGAATTAAACAGATGTGTAAAATACATTCCTCTTTCAAAACAGAAAAATGATGGTGATTCAAATCATGATGTACATCAGGTACTAGTTAGCACAAGTTCTTATTTCTGGTTAATTTTGACACATTTTTCCAAATTCTGACACATTTATTCCAAATTAAGGATTCATTATCCATGTGGACTTGTGTGTTCTAAAGATATGACCATTTTCTCTTCCAGCAATGTGCCACAAATCCTACCAAGGCCATCTCTAGCCTCACAAACGCATAAGAACTATCAACCTGCTTTTTTAAAATACCATGACTCTCTATAGTACCTTACTAATGCAAATTAATAAACATAGCTATGACTTTTGAGAAAATCATTGGTGTTTTATTGTTGGTGGGCTTTAACATAAAAGACAAATGACTTCTCAACAATTCAAGAGCAGGAAGAATTAAAGAAAAGAAAGCAAAGACAATTGCTATAGGATAAAGGAGAATTAAGGCTTAACAAACATAATGTGGGGACTCTGTTTAGACCTGGTGTCGAACAATTTGCCCTTTTTTAAAACACAATGTGTTTTTATAAGCAAAACCCACAAAGCACGAATTCAGCACTAACTCAGTTGATTAATATCCTCTACCCAGTCTTTCTTTTAAACAGAGGTGGGTTGAGTGCTTTACTGCTGAACGAGGACAAAATAAAAATCCAGTAAGATTGTTAACTTGCTGGCAATTATCATATTCACATCAAGGTTTTCTGGATAGGAAAATTACAACAGAGTAGGATGTGGACCCTTAAATCTTTGCAGATACAAGTTTTCTAGCTAGTGAAACAATCTTAGTATGAGCTTAAAATAATACTCATTTAAAAATAGCCTGTCACCTAAATAGTGGCTAAGTTGATAATAATCAAAATATTCTATATACTAACATCAATAACATACCAACATTTTAAGGAAATATCCTCAACATAAAAGGTATATTTCATTAAAATAAAAGTCATTAATAAATATGGTGAGTGTCTAAAAAGTTACTGATGACCAATGGTGAAGGTAGGCTACACATCACATTTAAAACCAGTCAAAAGGAGGATTGTAATATAACTATACTGTTTTTCTGCAACTTAGTTATTAAGTCTTCACAAATTCATAGCACATAGCCATGAATTCCTGAGATATTCAGATATTAATTAACTATTTCCTGTTTTAGAAGTTAATAAAATGACAAATTACAAAATGTAAACAGGTAGCCTCTACAATTCAAAAATGTTCATATCTTAAGTTGATCCATTCTTCCAAAATTCTACATAGCAAAGGTTTTGATATTAATATGAGTACTACTCATTTTTAAACATGAATAATAACTACTTTAGGAATTTCATCATTTAGTTAGCATACCTGGAATTCTTTGTCCAGGTATAGTATTAACAAATCATTTGACAAGGCTTAGTATCCTCTCTTGCTATCCGTCCTAGGTTTCTCTTCTCAATCTTCTAAGATTTAAAAAAAAAAAATTTTTTTTTCAAGTTACCTATTTATTTAGCGAGTATTCCTTCTGACTAGTGTCATTTTTCTACTCTGTACCTTTTAACCATAATCACCAAATAATTTTCTGATAATTGAGTACAATCTGTAACTTTTCTACGTCCCAAATGTTAAGTGTAAAATTGACAATAGTGTAAAGTAGAATGCTAATGCAGTTCCAACAACAGAAAAATGCATAAAGAACTATCATTATCCAGATTTATACAGAATATGCCCATAGGGAAATTCTAAGTTCAACATGCACACGTTTGATACTGAGACTAATTGGAAATTCCTGCTATGAGAGCAATTTATCTAGAGTTTATTGCTCTCCCAGCTCTCCTTAGCATCACCATGTGGATTTTATGATAAATTATTAAACTTCTTTCTCCTTGTCAGAAGTAAGCAACTCAGCAAAACTGTATCTATTCTCTTGGGTAAAGAATATTTTACAACAAGGATATGTAATTAAAAATTATGAAGATTTTCTATTACTTTCAGCAAGCATCAGAAAGCAAAATGTATATAACATGTGTAGAAAGTGTTTGACTCTAAACTTAAAATTATGAAAAGTAAATTCTGCAATTATCTCAGAAGTTAAGAAAATGAGAAAATATCCAACTAATGCTTGAAAGATTATAGTAGAACATTTTTACTACGGTCCCACTCGTATCCTCAACTGACATCAGGGGAACTCTGAACATACACAATAAATTGTTAAAAGGGAGTCAATTATAAGGATTCCCTTAAGTATGTTCTTTTGTATTCTACATAGGAACAGCAGACTGGCAAACTCCAAATTTAAGAATTAAAAATCTTAGTAGCCAAATGGAATAAATGGTAACATTAAACAAAATTGCAAACAACTAGTTCAAATGCATTTTAAACGAAAAACTGGATTCAGAGAGTGATGGTATCCCCACGAAAATCCAAGACAGGATCCGAGACCAGACTCTTCTAGTGATGTTCCTTTCCATGGAACAGATAGGACAGAAAGACTGGCCATATTGGTAAGTATTAATGACAAGATAGCACAGAAGAAAATCCCTTTAAGAAATGACTTTCTTACTAATGTTTTGCCATTTTAATATGTACGTATTAGTGAAAAATTTGCCTCATAATATGCCACACACAAAAAATGTTGTAACTTGATTCCAGCATTAAGTTCACAATTTCAAGAAAATAAGAGACAATATACTCCTACTCCTCTTTGAAAAGTTACAAGGTACAAGGTAATAACCCCTTATCTCCAATTCTGAAATCCAAAAATACAAAGATTTTCTTAAACTTGTAGTAAGCTC